TTTTGTAATTTCCCTGCTCATAATGGAACTACTGCTCAGTTAAAGTGTAAATACAATCAGTATATTAGGTTGAAACAAACTGAGTTGATTCAGTGCCTCAGTTTTTTCCACAGTAGTCTGTTGCTTTGATTCTTGCACCTCTAGTTTTTGTGTAGTGATTTTTTTTCTCCTTTTTGTGCTAATAGTTTTGACTATTAACATAGAATTTTTGAGGTTGTATATGGAAAAATACATTTTTGTTCCAGGTATTTCATATGGCAACAGCCAAGAGTATTAACTGCCACAGTAACTATTTACATTTTATATACTCAAAACAAGTAGATTTGGTTAGTTTTACTTTATCTCTTACTGCTGGCCTTGCTGGTGTCAACTGTCTAATTTCCTAACTGTTTTTTACCTGCCAATGTTAGTACTCCAATAAATTGCACCAGAGTTTTTGAGGCTGAATTTTTTTTCATTTACCTGTTAGTGATATGAGGTGAATCCTATTTGAAACTGGCTTCAACTCATTTAAGATGTCAGAAGAGGTGGTAGGTCTTACAGGAAATAAACCCTATGGTCAAATTCTTGAGCTTGTATCAAAAAAAAAAAGTCAAAATGATCCTCAGAGTTGTAGTGATCCACCTCATTTGGGGCATATCTACATGTGTGCTTTAATGTTCATTAAAACATCACTTACTGCGCATTAGCCAAATAACACTGTTTAAGCATCACTTAATGCGCATGAACAAAAGAGTATGGTTTTTAAGACAGGCTAAAGCACATTTTCCTAGTACAGTATAACCTTATAAATCCAGAATTATCCAAAATAAGGCACTTCCCCTGGCCACTCAGGGACTGGCTGCTACTCCTCGCTCCCCCCAGCCCTCCAGGACATGGTGGGGGACGCTTGCATGCAGTGGCTGCCACTGCCATTCACCACCCTGTGCCACTGCTGCTGCCCCCCTCCTCCCCTGGTTTCAAAAGTCTGGTGTTTTCAGATTTCCAGCAAGTCCTAAGCACACCAGATGTATGAGATTATACTGTACCTCACAAGGCATTTGTAGACAGATTTTTGTGTCCAGATGCACCAGAGATTAATAGTTTGCTCTGCATGTGAGTTGACACTTATACAACTGCAAGCGACAGTGCCATAAGTGGTGAAATGCATGTCCGTGAGGAGAAAATGGCAGTGTGCTTTTGAACTAACACCTATGTGTTTTAGTTAAAAAAGGACCGCCACCATTTTCTCTGCGCTAACACACATTTTGCCATTTATACAACTGCAGGAAACACAGCACTGGGCACTTTTCAAAGTGCCTGGTGCTTGCATGTGTCAGAACGCCCACAGTGGAGGTACTAGATTTAATGCGCATTAGCCAAAGTACTTTAATGCATGTGTAGATGTGCCCTTACTGAACAATGACATATGAACTGTACTTGTCGGCCCAATACTACTGACAGCAGCAGCTAGCACTTCCTATAGTGTGCAAGTGAGCTGAGCAGACTTCCCTACCCACTACTGCTATATACTATTTGTTACCATAGAAAGCTCTTGCCAGATTTTTGCCTACAGTAATTCCATACAAATCTCTTGTTCCTAAATGAAATGGTTTTTCTAAGAGAATACATCAACCTGTGAGAATGAGCTGCTTAGTGCTTTTTCTTTTAAAACCTCCACCTGTTTACACTGACCAGTGACTTTTCCCTGCCAGTGTACCAGACATGCCACTTTGTGCTTTTGCCTCCTCTATTTGTGTACTGCAGAGCTACATGTAAAAGCTTCCCATCTGCTTCTGATTTAACTTTACTGCAAATCTAGACTAGACTCAGAGGTGGTAACAGTGGATGGGGAAAGTCTGCATAGCTCACACAGGCACACGTTATTAAGTGTTAGCTTTTGCTGTCACTCAGCAGCTGATTTCATGTAGAGGGCAAGTGCTTCTATTTTGATTTCTATATCTTGAATATGTGGGTCCTTATTTTTAACTCTACATACCATGCAAAAGAGTACATTAGGTTAATGTTGTTAAGGTACAACAGCATGCATCAAGGGTGAGATGGCTAGCATCTGCATTGGCTACCTGCAATATCCATACTGTGAAAAACCTGTACCCATTTACAGCTGGGTTGACTACAGGTGACCTTCAGACAAGGGAAGGCTGAGGAGGGATCTAGTGGCCATTTACAAACTGGTCAGAGGGAACCAGCAGGCATTGGGGGAGTCCCTGTTCCCCTGAGCACCACCAGGAGTGACAAGAAACAAAGGTCACAAGCTGGCAGAGGGTAGATTCAGACTGGACATCAGGAGGTGCTACTTCACTGTCAGGGCAGCTAGGATCTGGAACCAACTTCCAAGAGAAGTGGTGCTGGCTCCTACCCTGGGGGTCTTTAAGAGGAGGTTAGATGAACACCTGGCCGGGGTCATTTGACCCCAGTACTCTTTCCTGCCATGGCAGGGGGTCGGACTTGATGATCTGCTCAGGTCCCTTCCGACCCTACTAACTATGAAAGTCCTGAATGAAGGGGGAACTCTTTCACCTTTGGGTTCATAGTAAGTGAACAGCTCTAACTGCTCTAGCTTTTGCTGTGGTGAGGGCCATAGCGTTAAAGTAGATGATGAAAAGTTGAAACCTGAAGATTTTGGTGTAGCCCTAAACTGAAGTACACTTCTCATTCTCTATGAAAGATCAGATGAGAAGGCAGGGAGTGGGGCAGTGCACAAAGGCAGCCCTTCATAAATAGATTGGCACAGAAGTTGAGTAGATCACTCGCATGTTCCTGGTATGAGCAGATGCAACTGCAGGTCCAATGGATTGAGGCCTGAATTTAGTTGAGGCTATCCTGGAAAGGTAAGCAGCTTTAGGAAATTTCAGTATTAATCCTATTTTTGGCTTGTTCAGGTTTTTTTAAAGCTACTAGCACCAAAACCTAATGTTGGTTAACAGCCAATTGTGGCGGCAGCTTCTTCAGGTCCAGGGCCTGTGGGATCAGAGTGGGGGTGGGGCCCCGCATGGCCTGATTTGCCCTAGGCCCTGCACCCTGCTTGGGTCATCTCTACCAATTTGAATGGCTACCTCAGTACCAGATCTTGCCTTAGTCCCTTTGATCTTAGGAAATTTAAAATGCACCTGTTGAGCATTTTATAACCAGCAATTCCTACTAACTTCTGCTGGCATTAAGATGCTAGCTGTAACCTTGGACATTTTCTTTTGCCTGGCTTTATAAACCTAATACTTTCATCTGTGAACAACCTATCACCTCTGTTAGTCATAATTTCAAACTAGTCACCACACTGAACAAGAGGAATTCTAGCGAACATGTAGTTTGCAGAGCAGGTGGGTCGTAGAGTTGAGTTAAACTTCAGGAAATGCTTCTTGTTCACTGTAATCGTTAAGCACTTCAGATAATTAGACTAGATTATAAGGGGGTTTGTTTGATGTCACTATTGCACACAAGACCATAAATCTTACCATGAAGTGCAATATGTGTTCAGGAGCCATCACTTGACATTAGTCAAGTGTTTGAAAGTGAGAGCAATGTAAACTGTTCACCTTTGATCCCTCAACTATAGAGGAATGACAAATTCAAACACTGCTGTTCCCTGCTTGCTGGTAAGAGTCAGCGATATATTCAAGATTGCTGATTTTTTCTATTGTGCAGGTTTTAAAGTATTTGCTACTGGAACATTACTGAGGGAGGTGGAATGAGTATGTCAAGATGACTGAATTGCTACTCCTCAAACAGGAAGGACACTACAAAAGACATAATAAAGACTTTTCAAATCAATTGGAAACTGTACATCTTGCATGTATCAAGTGGTACCGAAGAGCAATAAGTGACCTAAGCTGGTCCCTGAGAAAATACATTACAAACAATCAGTTGTGGGTTCAGTCTATGAAGCAGCGCAGCTCCCCCTTTTCCAAATGACTAAGGAAATAACTTGCATGGAACTTGAGTATTTAGCTTCCTGCGGTTCCTTTGAAAAAGCCATCCTCACTGTTCCCAAGTCTTGTCTGTCTGAAGGAAAAGGTTGAAACCAATTTCATCTCATGGTAAGGGCTGGGAAAAGCCAAAAGAAGTTACAATAAACTTAATGTTTCCAAAGCTGCTGTTCAAAACTAGAAGCCTTTGCTACTAAGGGACTAAGAACAGTGGTGCCAATGCATTTGCATTAATAAGATACAACATACATTATCTCTTAGAATACAAGAAAATGCAACTTTACATAAAAGGTTAACAGACAAAGCAAGAAGCACTCACCAGGAAAACAGTTAAGTACGTACTCAAGAAAGTATTTTTAAAAATCCAAATTTAAATATCTGGACTAAGAGCAGTAATAAAAGGAGTTAAGTGATTTTGTTAAAGAATGAAGGAAAAATGAACTGGTTTCATTTGTTTCAGCTTATCCACGTCCACTCTGTTCCATCCACTTTAGATAGATATATAAAAGGGGCCCCAAATAGATTTAGGCTTTAAAAACATAAATCCTTGGGCCAAGATGGAGCAACGTATCAAATTCTGGATAACGTTCTTGGCCCATTCTGTAGGAGTTAAGCATTAGAGTAAATTCTGTTTTCTTTTAACTTTAGAGAAACTCCCCAGGGCATCACCTAAGGAAGACAGGCATTTGCCAATATATTTATAACTTATCTTGGTTACCAAAAGCTGCAGTGGAACTTTATATTAAATCTGACATCTTTAGAATAAAAAGGCCACCTGAATGAAACTTTCACTACTTTGAAAAATTACTTGGTTTTTAAATATACTTTAGACTACAAGATACCCAAATACAAAGCAACAAAAATTAGCAACCTTTTCTGAATCATAAAATATTTAATAAGGTATATTTTGGGGAATATACTGTATATAAAATTTCAGATCACAATATGAAGCGATTTGAACCCTCTCCAAGCTAGCACTGCCTTCCAACGCTGTGTAGATGTATTGCCACTGATACAAGACCTACTAAAAGCATACAGTTTTAACTAATACAAAAGTGGCTTGTTTCATATGAAATATTTTTTTACACAACTAGAGTGTCTTGAATACCCTCCTTAAGTGCAAAAAACACAGATCACTTTACACTAATGTAGCAACAATGCATTCATATTGTTCTCATTAGTCATTAGTAGTCAACTTGCATAAGATACAAGGAAAAGCACAATGAAGCTCACAAAAATAGACTAAAAATCAGCCTGTTCTTGCAAAAAAAAAAACAAAACCAGCATAATGGAAGAAAAGACAAAAAAGGATTATGCACACCACAGAATTTGCTGTTCTTTAATCAAACCGGTTTAAGTGCTGCTTTTTTTTTTTGTAAATCAAACCACATGGACCAGGCACAACTAAATATTCAGGAGGCAGTGTGTAGCTAAAACTTCATTGAACTGTTTTAATCCCCACAAATTATTTTCCTCTGTCCTGAGGTAGTTACAATGCACAAACCATAACTTAAGTATCAGTTAGGATTGACCAGTCAAAGCTGAGGCTTCTGTTTTTTCACTTTAGAAACTATTGTCAACTGGCCAAAACTACCTTTGATGTTAAAAGACAGCTGAGAATTGGAGTTCTCACTACACAAAAAGATGGCTCTATGGGGAAGAGGGTTAGCTGCTTCAAAAATGTGACACTATATTGAGTCCCATCAAGCTGGCTGGTCCACTGTTGCATTTCCCATGTTTATTCTCCTTTACTGTCTATAAAAGTCACTGGGAGAAGTATGGTAGGAGCTAAACATATCATCGTCCTTTGCTGTAACCAGGGAAGAACTGGTCGAGTAGTGTCTGCAGGATCTTGTTGGGAACCATAGTATAGCCCTTTCCAAGGTCATAGCGGCAGGCTGGGCAGGTGAAAACTTCAGCTCGGAAGGAGCGCTGTAAACAGCTCTAGGACACACAAAAGGAGAATTACAATCTTTTCGGGCAGTGCTTTGTGCTGAAAGGTCGAGATTAAGCAAGTACTAGACACAAAGACAGCAGCCAGCATTTCCAGAAATAAGCAACTCTGGGGTTTCAGATACATATTTCTACCTTTACACAGCAAGATGACTAAGACAACTTAACAAAGGACTTGGTTCTTGGCTACAGTACAAACAGCAGGTTTGGCATGAATGAATATAGTGTCACCACAGAGGCACTTCATCTCCCCCATGCATCTGTGGGTCACAGCTCAGTCTACAGCTTCCTTCAAGCATTCCTGCTGGACTTGTAATGCATTTCAGCCTTCCAATTCAAGGTGCAACTCCGAATGTGCAAACAGAGTTTGCAGCTGACCTTACTGTACCAATTCTTCAGTGCTTTACAACCCTGCTGCCGCCACCACCATTTTAACCAGTAAGTAGCCACTTCCTGTGTCTGACAGTGGCGCCCAACTCATCAAGTTCTGACAAGTGTGAAATAACACATGTAAATATCTTTGTTTAATGTAATTTCCCCAGGCTGTCTAATCGAGGAGAAAATCAGCTTGATACTTAGACAACTAAGTAACCAGCTTGCATAAGCTTTCTGGGGCTGTTTCATCTGATCTAGCTGCCAAGTAACTTTCCGACAGATGCCAAAAAACAGGGCTAATAAGTTGTTTGTGTGTGTAGAAAGCTGTGTTCGTTCCTTGTGAAGCATTAGCGTATCAATCTCTAGCTACAAGCACACAACCATTCCCTAGTGCAACTCCATTAACTACAGTGGACTGACGGCAAGTCAAACTTTCCTCTATGCCTGGAAAAAATTATGCATTTCCACTATTATTATAGAAAACCAAGTTAATCTGGGCAGCAATTACACCAAACCAGGAGAAAATTTGTTGCATTCCTTGCTCCGAATACTTAGTATACTACATGCCTCACTAGAACAGACTAGCTCTATTGACGGGGTCCTCAGTGCCAGAAGTGCAACCAAAGCAGGACAGAGATTGTTCTTACTTTACAGACGTTGTGGAGGCACTCTGTTGTCACTGGCTGGTAAACCAGCTCCTGGCAGCAGACACACATAAAGGATTGTTCCAGTTTCTTCAGAAAATTCTAGTGTAGGGAAAAGAAGAGAAAAAATGAGATGAAGAGATTCTAGTACAAGCGTGAACACAGATGCCAAAGAAAATCAAAAGTGAACAGCACTTCTTTGTCATTGTCTAAAGCCATTATAGTTAATAGTTTGTAACCACTGGGCATTTTCATTTGCCTAGCTATTATAGTAATTACACATATTTAAATCATGTACATTTAAGTCCAGTGGGTCAAATTGGTTCTGTTACATAAATCAAGAGCACCCAAAATCAAATTCTGTCCTAGCATCACTTGGTCAAAGCTCATTCCCATGAGCTAGCTGCTGTGCTAACCTATATTTTACACAGAAGGCATTCTCTTAAACTCCTAAGAAAGGTCAGGGGTTCCCAGGGTTAATGGTGCTGATTAATAATATAACGTAAGTATTAATGAGCTGGGAAATCACAACCACTTCACTTTGATGTTGAGCATAGTTAAACAGATGACTCAATTTTCTATCTGCACCACAGGAGACTGACTCCCTGCGAGTTACTTTTCTTGCAAGAAACTGACCACCATCATTGCTCAAGGTCATTGCCCACGGACAGAAATGTGTTTGTTTATACTGAAGCATACACATATAATGTATGACTATTATAGAGGTCTGCTCACATCATACTTCATGTGGTTAAACTGCTGTGTACTTTTTCTTAGATTGAAGTTACTTCAAGAGGAACCATATGTCTTCCTCTTCTGTTAACTGTTAATCATACTAATTGGGTATGAAATTTATTATGTTAGATATTATGTCTGGCCCAATCTTCCTGAAACATAGCCACATAACTTCGCTGCTCCTCTGACTGGTGGGATTTCAAACAACAAAGGTTTGGAAATGATTAATAGTTCCACGTAACTGTTTGTTACAGCAGAACGTCCTGTCCAACAGGGTTCTCAGCAGAGGTCAGAGAACAAGGGAAGTTACTGCCTGTCTGGCTGGGGAGGTCACTGTCCTGAACCTGCGTTTGTCAGGGATGCTCAGAATTTGAGCAGAGTAATTCTCTGTGCCTTTGCAGAGGAGATAGCCAAGACCTTAATGCCCCCTTCTTCCAAGAAACCCCTTCTATGCCTGCGGCTCACACAGGTATGTGGCTAGTTACACTGCTTTCATAGTTGTTAGGGGCTTCTTCTGTTCTAAGAAAACAGAGAAAAAAGTTTACTCAAATTCTGTGTGAACTTCCGCCCTATTTTTTGGTCTTCCCAAAACAAACCTAGGGATTGTAAGAGTACATACATACTGCCTATTGTAGAAGTAACAGCAGAACTTACACAGATTCTAGTTCTGATATTTCAGTTGCCCAAGAACACAACTTCAAAGTAAAAGTGTAAAAACTGGATTATACAATATACAAATCAAATGGTATTCATACATTCAAATCATGGTAATATGTAAACAAGCAAGTATCGGTATATAAGGTATTAAGATGTACCCACTTAGTTTGGTTCTCATCAACCGCCGTGGTAGTTCCATGGAAGTTTAGTCACACAAGTGTCAAAATAACAAACAGGAGTCTTTCACTAACTGGGTTTCCTGTTGTGTCACACTTGCCTCATATCACACATACGTTAAGAAATGAAACTTAATACCAATTACAAGGTGAATACGTATGTGCTGAAGGTAGCACAGGAAATGGCTCATCGCTTTTCAGTGCTCACTCCTTTATAATAACCACTTTGGCAACAACTTGAAAAGTGGAAGAACATAGCAGGATCTTAGAAGAACACATGAGATCTTAGAAGTCCAATTAAGATCAGGTAAAGATACGCACTTTTGCAATTTTTTCCCTGCATCTTACTTTTCTACATAGCATTTTTTGCTCTTCCATTGGTTTGATTTTTACAATCATAGAAAATTACAGTTGGAAGGGACCTTAGGAGGTCAGCTAGTCCATCCCACTGCTCAAAACAGGATCATCTCCAGCTATACTTGCTGCCGTACTTGCTAGTCTTCCGGCATGTTGGGATGCTTTGTTCCTGCACCCCAAGACAGGTTTCTTTAAATTACAGCCAGCACTTCTGGACTCCTTTCCCCCTCAGACTGGCTTCCCAGGTGATCCTGTGCATGAGTTCCTTAAGCAAGTCAAAATCTTCTTTTCTGAAGTCCAGGGTCGTTACCCGGCTGCTCGCCTTCCTTCCTTCCTTCCCTCAGGACCCTGAACCCAATCATTTTGTAGTCACTGCTGCCCAAGTTGCCATCCACTTCTACATTCCTACTTTGACCAGGGGGTTGGACTAGATGACCACCTGAGGTCCCTTCCAATCCTAATTTTCTATGATTCTATAACATCCCAGCTAAGGTTTTGTCTACCTAGGTCTTAAAAACCTCCAAGAATGAGGACTCCACAACCTCTCTGGGTTGCTTGTTCCAGTGCTTTACTACCCTCCTAATAGGAATTCCCACCCCCCATATCTGACCTAAACTTGCTTTGCTGCAATTTGAGACCATTGCTCCTTGTTGTCATTTACCACCACTGAAAACAGTCTAGCTCCATCCTCTTTATAACCACTCTTCAGGTAGTTGAAGGCTGTTATTAAATCCCCACTCAGTCTTCTCTTCTCCAAACTAAATAACTCCAGTTTCCTCAGCCTCTCCTCATAAATCATGTGCCCCAGCCCCCGAACCATTTTTGCTGCCCTCCGCTGGATTCTTTTCAATTTGTCCACATCCTTTCTGCAGTGGGGGGCCCAAAACTAGACACAGTACTCCAGATGTGACCTCCCAGTGCTGAACAGAGGGGAATAATCACTTCCCTTGACCTGCTGGCAATGCTCCTACTAATGCAATCCAGTATACTGTTAGCCTTTTTGGTGACAAGAGCACACTCCTGGCTCATAGTCAGCTTATTATCCACTGTAACCCCCAGGTCCTTTTCTGTACATCTGCTGCCCAGCCAGTCAGCCCCCAGCCTGTACATGGGATTGTTCCATCTTAAATGCAGGACTCTGCACTTGTCCTTGTTGAACCTCATGAGATTTCTTTTGATCCAATCCTCCAATTTGTCTCAGTCTCTCTGAATCCTAGCCCTACCCCTTCAGTGTATCTGCTACTCCACCCTGCTTGGTGTCATCCACAAACTTTATAAGGGTGCGCTCCATCCCACCTTCCAGATCACTGATGAAGATATTGAACAAAACAAGCCCCAGGACAGACCCCTGAGGCACTCCACTTGATACTGGCTGCCAACTAGACAGAGAGCCATTGATCACTACACTTTGAACCCAACAATCCAGCTAGTTTTTTATCCACCTTACAGTCCATTCCTCCAACCCAGGCTTCCTTAGCTTGCCTGCAAGAATGTTGTGACAGACCATATCTAAACCCTTGCTGAAGTCAAGATAGATCACATCCACTGCTCTCTCTTCCCACCTCTACAGAGCCAGTCACCTCATCATACAAGGCAATCAGGTTGGTCAGGCATGACCTGTCCACTGGCGAATCCATACAGATGGTTCCTAACCACCTTCTTCTCCAAGTGGTAGAAATGGATTCCTTGAGGATCTGCTCCATGGTTTTTCCAGGGAATGAGGTGAGGCTGACTGGTTTGTAGTTCCCTGGATCCTCCTTTTTCCCTTTCTTAAATAAGGACACTATGTTTTTCCTTTTCCAAGCACATTCAGGACCTCTCTGAATAGCCTTGAGTTTTCAAAGACAATGGTCAGTGGCTCTACAATTTCATTAGCCAACTCCTTGGGTGCATCCCATCTGGCCCCATGGACTTGTATACATCTAGGTTTTCTAAATAGTCCTTAGCCTGTTCTTTCACTACTACCAGCTGCTCACCTCCTCCCTAAACTGTGCTGCCAGATGTAGTAGTCTGATAGCTGAATTTGCTTGCAAAGACCGAGGTTTAAAAAAAAAAGCATTATTTCAGCCTTTTCTGCATCATCTGTCACTAGGTTGCCTCTCTCATTAAGGGACCCACACTTTACCTGATCTTCCTTTTGTTGTTGACATACTTGTAGAAACTCTTATTTCTACAAGCTACCTTGTTACCCTTCACATCCCTTGCTAGCTGCAACTCCAACTGTGCTTTGGCTTTCTTGATATCATCCTCTGCATGCCCGAGAAGTAGTTTTAAACTTCTCCCTAGTAGTTTGTCCAAGTTTGCACTTCTTGTAGGCTTCCTTTTTTATGAAGAACTAAGCCAAAGTGGTCTTCTGTCATACTTGCTAGTCTTCCTGCATATCAGGATGGTTTGTTCTCGCACCCCAAGAAAGGTTTCTTTAACACACAGCCAGCTCTCCTGGACTGTTTCCCCACTTCAGACTGGCCTCCCAGGGGATTCTGCTCACTGGTTCCGAGTCAGTCAAAGTCTTCTTTTCTGAAGTCCGGAGTCCTTACTCTGCTGCTCTCCTTGATTGATTTCATGATCCTGATGAAAGGAATAATCTCATGGCTGCATTGGCCCAAGTTGCCATCCACTTCTACATTCCCCACCAATTCTTCCTTGTTTCTGAGCAGCGGATGAAGAAGAGCATGGCCTCTAGTTGGCCTCTCCAACACTGCACTAGGAAGTTGTCTCCAACGTGCTCCAAAAACTTCTTAGATTGCCCGTGCACTGCCTAGATGTCAGGCTAGAAGATGTCAGGCTGATTTAAGTCCCCCATGAGAACTAGGGCTCCAGTTTCATACCGGAGCTCTGAACAATCATACAGCTCTTTTACATACAGTTCAACTCCTCCTCCTCTTTTCCTCAGCCTGTCCTTCCTGAACAGTTTGTATCCATCCATGACAGTGCTCCAGTCATGTGAGTTATCCCACCAAGTATCTGTTATTCCAATCACATCACAGTTCTGTAACTGTACAAAGCCTTCTAATACTTCCTGCTTGTTTCCCAGGCTCTGTGCATTTGCATACAGATATGAGGTAATTAGCCGATTATCTTACTTTCTCAAAAAGAATGAGGAGGCCGCCTCTGTCGCTTCCTCCTGCTTGCGCTTCCTCCAGGTCACCCACTTCCCCACTTACCTCAGGGCTTTGGTCTCTATCCCCCAGTGATCCTAGATTAAAGCCCTCCCCCACTATGTTAGCGAACCTGTTTGCAAAGATGCTCTTTCCTCTCTTCGGCAGGTGCATCCCATCCCTTCCTAGCAATCCTTCTTCTTGGAACAACAACGAATGGTTGAAGAAGCCAAAGCCCTTCTTGTATCACCATCTGCACAGCCATGCATTGATCTACAGGATGTGTCTGCTCCTGCTCAAGCCCTTCCCCATGACCAGAAGGTTTGAGAACACCACCTGAGACCCTGTCCCCTTTACCCTTGCACCCAGAGCCCTGTAGTCACTTTTGATCTGCTCAGAGTCCCCTCTGGGCAGTATCACTGGTGCCCACATGGACAAGCAACATGGGCTAGTAGTCAGAGGGCCAGATGAGTCTTGGTGATTCCTCCATAACATCTTGGATCTGGGCTTGCAGCATTCCTCTGGAAATGACAGGTCAGGCTGGCAGATGGATGCCTCCATCCCCTGCAGAAGGTATTTGCCAACTACCACCACTTGTTGCTTCCCTTTGGTGGCAGTGGTCTTGATCCTCCCAACCTTGGGGAGACCTGGCCTGGTCTCTTCTGCTGATGGAATGTGCTACTTCTCCTCTGTTGCTAGGTCTCCATATCTATTCAGCAGGCAAACTGCTGCATGTGAGAATGAAAATTTCTCTGCTTGATGCCAGAGGTCACAAGCTTCCAGGTTCCTGGGAGTCCATGTCCTCTTCCTATTCCAGCACCACCTCTGGCAGTGCTTCCTCTGCAGTCTTTGAGGTCTCTTCCAGCACTGAAATGATGAAGTCCTCATGGCTGAGGATGGCTTGGAGCCTTGCCACCTCCTGTACCTCTCTCTCCTGCTCCCTAAGGGACACTACCCTTCTGTTTGGCTGCTGCCACTGCTGCTCACCATGGGTGGGCGAGTCCAGAGCAGGCATGGGGCAGGCCAGGGTTGGGGCTGTGCATGTGGGTTTCAGCTGGTCCAGAGCTGGTCTGCTCTGCTGGGACGAGTTTGGAGAGGGTGTGGGGCAGGCTGGGGTTGGGGCTTGGCACACGGGTTCCTACAGTACCATAGGTCTGGGGCCAGCAGTGGCAGCAGTTGGAAGGAGCTGCTGCCACCTGGGCTGCCTGGAAAAGCAATCCAGCTGTGGAGCTGCCCCAGCCCTGCTGCATACCCAGGTGGCGGCAGGATGCACCATGAGCCAGACAGCACCTAGGCCAGATGGGACCAAGGGACCCACCATAGGCCAAAGAAAGATCCTCCACGGGCTGGATCTGGCCCACAGGCCGTATTTTGCCCACCCCTGCCTTAAAGGCTCCCCTTGATAGAGGGAGATGGCACAAACTTGCAAACTGACTTGTTTGCTGTCCCTATTGACCTCTGCCAAGTCACTTTAACTTCTCCATTGTGCATCTTGAAACTGGTCAAAGTAGCCAGCACCTGCAATATCATGCCGATTAACCTACGTTCAGGTACAACAATGAAGGGGGTGTTATTTTTGCACTTACCTTGTTGAAGGGATACTGTCTTTATTGAATGTTTATATTAGTCTCTGGTCTCCTTCAATCCAATATGTGCTTGGTGCATCTCCAATACCATCTGAACCATACTCTGTGTACTTAACATACATGCCTACTTATCCTTGGGAGTTATCTTGCTGCTGCTAATTGTGAATAGGATTTTTTTTTTTTTTTTTTTTTAACAAGTAAAAGCTACAGGGCTTTATGAAAATAAAGATGGCTTTCTACATTTCTCTCTCAGAATTGTGGGTGTGTGAAGTTTTATTTGGTAACCAAGTTTCTGAATGTGACACCCCAAGCTAGGCCTCCCCCAGAGTATCTTTTTTCTGAGTTAACAAAATACCTTTTCCAGCAATTGCTTAAAGAAGAAAAAAGAGCAGTGAATAGGACTGTTTTGCATCTTACTTCTTGTATTGATATTCCACTAAAGGACATAAAAAATATTACTGTAAAAAAGTAATGCCATTTCTATCTTCACCTTCTTCACTGAGAATATTTATGTTACCACAGATGTGTTAAATATGAGAAAAGTGTTAGGGTGACAATATTTGGATTTGCAGCTGAATAAAGGCTTTAATCTGTGGCTTCAGCAAAGCTACTAACCACAAGGCAGAATGAGATATTAAAAGTAACACTGCAAGATGCTTAGGCAAGTAGTTTCTTAACAGTGTGCTAGTGTGTAGAATATATAATTTATTGTGTAGGGAGAACAGGATGCAGCCCACCAGCTATTGTCAGGAGGTAAAGCAGAAGCAAGACCTTGGAGATGAAGCAGTCAGCAAGAAACAGCAATTCACTGAAAGAAGTTGGGTTCACGGTTTTACACATGCGCTCATAGCAAAAATATATGTAAATGAATGAAATGCATAGACAATTCCATGCTAGTGAAGTAAACAGTAAACAAGGGCAGAGCTTCAGATAGGAGGGAATATGGGTGGAACAAAGGAGGGACAAAGGTGGAGTAAATGTTAATGAGTATAAACCAAGGTGTATAAATATGGAAAAAAAAATAATTTTCACTGCTGCTCCCTGGTTTCTTTGGGAGCTTGCCTGAAGCTGTCTCCATTCTGAATAAAGCTGTTGGCTAGTAGTGTGCGCTGGTGTTTGCGCCCTGCTTGCTCCCTGAGCAACTGTATTGTTATTTCCCTAGTCGTTGAGCACTGCATGGAGTTGGGGGTCTAACAAAAAGAGTTAAGTAAAAACATCTCCCAAACTGCATAGGCTAAAATCTTCACTGATGTGATCTAAGGCATCAGAACAAGTCTGTTCATTTCTTTGAAATCAAGAAAGAGTACAATAACTAGAGTAGTAGTGTTGTGTTCAACAACGGTTCAACAAGATTAGGTTTTCCTGAAACCTCATATTTTTCCTCCAACCTCCCTACAGGAATATCAAAAATGTAAAACATAAGCAAGCTACAAACTTACTGGTCCTTCTTTAAGAGAAGCAAGCACTTCATCCCACAATTTCTGGTTCATACAGTCTTCTCTAATCAGCCACTGTTGTTGCTGGGTTATCTGAAAAGCTTCTCCTTTTCCTCCATCCCCCATTCTCATGGCTTTGGATGCATTTGTAGACTCTTGTATCCCTGCTTAAAATATTACCACCAAACATAGGAATATCAGAACATTTGGCTGAACTGCTAAAGAAACACAAACGAATCTCAAACTAGAATCTTATTTGTATAGTAAACTACAATAAATTATCTTATTGTTCAGCTTTATTCTGGACTGCATCTGGAGGCTGCATGTAAACATTTAATACAAAAAACTGCTAGGAATTAAAAGAAAATTTTAAGAAAAAAATGACATAGTATCTTTTGTTATTTTCTTTTTTCCCTCATTAAACAGAATCCTATAAGAACAAATCTTTTCACATTTCACACTGCATTTCAAAGGACTTCCAGCTTTCCTTATTGTTTACTTCTTCTTTACTTAAGTATCTACAACTTGGCAGGACTCTGGCTAATGTCAAGAAGTACAAGGACATACCGTCATCAATTGTCCTCTTCTGGTTTCCATTGCTCTGTCTAGTTGGCTCCTGTTTCACAGTTTGCTTCTTAACCTTATCTTTCTTCTCTTTACTTGCCATGGCTTCCAGATAACCTTCTGGATACTAAACATGGAAAAGTATTTTTAAATTAAAACAAACTCCACTGGAATATGAAGAAGTGGCAGACTCTTATTTCTAAATGAAAATAACCAACAAAAGCTACACAATGAAATTATTTCAAAGGACTCTCATAAATGGGTAAGTTATAAACTACTTTCAGGCAACTGGAATTAAAGCAGGCCTGAATCAGAGTGATTTTGATGTAAAGGATCCCATAGTTATTGCTTTCCAACCTCTACAATCACAGGGATAAGACTGAGAATCCTGCCACTGTGGAAAACAACCCATCCAAGGAAAGAAAGATCCACTGAGGAAGGCAGAAGAGATTCAAACGCTTCCCAGCTTCAGGATTGATTGGGAGATGCAAAATTACTCATATGAACTGAGTTTTCTGTCTCTCAGGGATTCTGCAATCCTTTAGCTGCTGAAGGTCAGTCTGGACGTTAACTTACTTCTTAGTTTATAAATATTCAAGTTAGACTCAATTTATTTTAATTCAGCATTAAAACAAGACCATGAATTTAAATTCTAACCTGTACACTCAGACCCAGTTTCTTTGACCGTTCTATTCCTTCTGAGGTCCAAGGTGCAGGTTCCAGATCATCTCTTCTCAGAAGATAGCGCCAAACTAAGAATCCACATTTTCCAATTTCTGGCCAGTATTTCACCACCTAAATCACAACAGTTCCAGGACTATTTTATGATTTTTTTTTCTCCAACAGATTAGCATGATTTGTAAAAATGCATCATGTTAGGTCCCCAAATCAATTCAAGCAAACTTTGTCAGCACTGGGTATTCAATATTTTACCATTAATCATCAGCATGTGCAAGCAGTCGTATTTTGTATGCAAGCAGAAGAAATCAGTATTGAATCATGGTATACACACTACAATTTAAAATCTTTTCTTCCGTCCATGTACTCAAAGATGTACTTATTCCAGATGCAAAAAAGTCTTAAAGTGTTTGAAAAATGGTAAAGTAGGGGAAAGAAATGGATTACTTGGGGTGAATACGACTCAGTGAGAATATCTGCTCTCTCCTGTTACGTACCGTGTTCTAGCATTATTGCTTGAATACTTTTAGTTTCAAATGATCTTGACCAGTGAATAAGCTAAGCTAAAAAGCCTTTACTGAAACAGGACTATTTCTGCCAGTTTAATAATAAATATTGCTTATACTTGCTCGTTTCATAAGTATTGCTATGAATCATTTGATAGAATCTAAAAAGAATTTTCTAAAAATTCAACAAATTAGGCAACAAAAGTCTGTGTACCTTGTAAATGCCATCATATCTGTTGCCCTCCTCTGGGGCATACTTGCTGATCCTTCGTCCTTTTGAACTGCGCACCACTCTAACAGGCTTCCCAGCTCTCCAGTTTTTAGACTCTGCTCCATTTTTGTCATCCAACGGGGCATCACAATTAAGGGCCAGTGCCCTAAAAACACATTTAAAAGTCTTCATATAATATACTGCTTCATAGAGTATAACAAATGTGACCAGATCACACTTTATTTGCCTTGCCTGACAATATACTTGCACCAACCAGCAGAGAGGTAGAGAACCAGAAGTCTAATGAAGCCCTCCCTAAGAATGATTTCCCAGGTGCTGTTTTCTAACACCCGTAACAGTTCTGTCTTAAGTGACAGAAACAATAGGACACTTACATGTTCAAGCAAAAACCTCTGGAACACTAACAGGTAAAATAAGTTAATCCCTTGTATGGCTTATGAAATGATTAACATTTTACATTTTTAGAATAGTGATTTTTCAAGCAACGTGGAAGGAATTATAGAATAATAGTAAATGTAAAGTTCTTTCCTCACTACTCCAGATTATCAGGTTTTCTAAACTCCTTTGAAAACAGAAATTTTAGGAACTGAATCATTATTTTAAAATATACAATTTTAATAGAAAAATACTTTCATATCAATAGTGATAAATTGAGAATCAGAACTGAGGGAAGGAAGATCTTATTTAGGTGAGGTGAAATTCTATGGCCCGTGTCATAAAGAAAGTCAGATGAGACAACAGTAATGGTCCCTTTTGGCCTTAAAAATCTATTAATCTATGAACAACTCTCTGAATATTCTCTAAATTATCTAGGAATAGTTCTTAAAAGATGTGTATTATCTCAAGTTGAGAATCTGTAGAAAATAGATCCCAGAAAGATTAAACACAGTCTGAGGATTTCTTAAAGAAATTCTATTCTACGATCCAGAGAAGCATATAGGGTCAGATCTTCAAGTTGACGTTAGCTGTTTAGCTCCCCTTAAGTCAATGTAGCAGCATCAGTTTATGTGATCCAATTAAATGGCCCGGAACATTGTACCTTTATAGACACTGAACAAATCTGGAAATTTCTCTATACCTTCATTCACAGTTTGACGTTAGCATTTGACAGCATAACTCAATTGGAATGTTGTTCTTAACAAGAGTCTTGGAATGTCTTTGTTGCCTGTTCTACATCATTTTTGAGTAACTGGACCTTAAACAAGGATTTAAATCTGTCAGTACTGCAAGCCACTGTAGCTAAACCATGTCTAATCCTTGGGGCCAAACTTCCAGCAAGAGAGACCTGTACAAGGCATGCCAGACACTACATGTAAAAACATATATACTCTACAACTTTACAAATATAACAACTCCACATATATATAACAAATGGCCAGTGAGATGACTAACTTGCATCTATTTCTTTCTCTCAATCTTTTTATGTTTTGTTGACACACACAATTCCTAAACTTGTTTCAAAATCTTATTACTAAAAACGACTGTTTTTGAACATTATGAAATACAACCATCATCTATGAAAAACTGCATTATTTCTGTGTCAACTATAGGTATATGCAATAATACAGGGAGAGATTAAATTCCTTCTTCGTGAGGTTGCACAAACCACCACCATGTTGATGAATATCCTGAGGTATGGACTAAATGTGTAAATGCCATTTCTTTATGCTGGGGCATCATCAAAAGAAGGAATATCGTTGGTTAGAATGACAGGCTAGGCTTCATGTCCAATAATTTTCTTGGATGGACAATTCAAATATCGTCAGAGATCTTCACACTGAATCTTAGTGAAGATGTAAAAGGCTACTGGAAAAGCGCTGCTAAGGAACAATACATCTGCAATATTTAATGATACACCTGAGGAGAGCTAAAAACAGAATTGCTCTCATGCCCAACAATGATACCCAACTCTCAAAGACATTCCTGTGTTATTCTCCTATGCTGGCTGGGGCAAACAGAACTTTGCTCCTTATGTAAAAATCTGTAGATAATGGTTATGAATTCAAAAGAATTTTGAAGTACTAAAAATATATGCGTCACTTTCAAAAGTACTGGTATTTATTCTGTCTTACCACCAAAACTTCTGACTGACCGTTTTAAGTCAGCAGCACTGTCATACTCGAGGACAGTTTAAATATTTTAGTTCATCATGTCTGCTTGGTCACTAATTTCCCTTAATGAGAAAGGCTGAACTCTGTATCTGCTACAGCCAATATCAATGAACTAATTTCAAATACTAACTGACCTGACCAGAGTTCCAATACCACCCTGTAAAAAGGCTGTAAATAATGTTTTAGTACACTTACACACTATGAATGGTGTTTGTGTGCATGTGTATAAATATGTATAGACAGGCAAGTACACAGCATATTTTCTTACATACCACTCACCCCAAGTAAGACATGCACCTTGTATTGGGAAAGCCGGATTAAGAAAAAGATGTTTCCAGTTATGACTGCATGCAGGAAGCATGTGCGGAAGAATCATCTTCCAGATTTCTACTTTTTGTTTGTTTTATTTCCTTTTCTTTGTCTTGGTCTCCTCTCCTGTCTGTCAATCTGGTTGCCCCAGATTACGGCATATGTGACCTGGATCACGTAAGAAGGTATATACCTAGCTTCTATTATTTTGAGCTTTGACCTCATGACATAGGGGAAGGGGCTTGAGTCCAGGTCAAGGTGTGATACTTTTCAAATTGGTCGGTCAGCATCAAACAACACCTGCCCCTGGTTGGGTCTAGAAAGTGAGGTCAGGAGGGCTATTTAAGAGACAGGCTCTCCAGGAAGAGGGGGAGACATGTTGGGCCTTTTACACAACAACTTGAACCTCTGCAACTCTGTCTCTTCTGGGATCCTGAAGTGAGTAAATTACCAGAAACTTAACTAGAAAGGTAGCTTACAGTAGTTTAGAAGTGTACAAAATGGCTGTCAGGTCAGTTCTGTTTCCTCAGGGTTATGTTTTCGATACTTCTCTGACTTGTATCCCTCCCCAAGCCTACCCTTTCTACCCAAATAAAGCTCTCCACTATAGCAAGTTTTGTGGTACATTCTTGAGAGGGACTGGGCATGACTTTATGCTCCCTTTGCTCAGCTGACTAAGGGAAACTACTTTCTGTGCTTCACGTTAAAGCAGGGGTGGGCAAAATGCGGCCAGCGGGCTGGATGCGGCCCACCAGGACATGCTATCCGGCCCATGGGGCCCCTAAAAAATTTAGAAAATTACTATTTATCTGCCACTGGCTGCCTGTCATGCAGCCCTCGATGGCTTGCCAACAGTCAGTAAGTGGCCCTCCACCTGAAATAATTGCCTGCCCCTGGGTTAAAGGAAGTAGGTTTAGAGTAGGTTCAAGCACACTAAACCCACCCAAGATTTCGCAGTGGGAAAAGCACCCTCAAGGTCTACAAGGCCTGTGTACCCCGGGGGGCACAGGGCCCAAACAAAGACCAGATCCCAGGTAGTAGCAGCGATTTC